GTCCCCCCGCAGATTTCGGGGTGTCCCCCTCCTCCCTGACCCCCTCTTTCCCCGCAGCTCTCCGCCGCCGGGCGGGGGTCTCGGGGGGGTCCTGCAGGAGCTGTCGCGGCTGGCGGGGGGCCAGGCCCCCGTGCCGCTGCTGGAGGCTCTGGGGGTGCCCCCCGGGCGGGACCCCGCGGCGCAGGCGGCGGCGGCCGAGCTGCGCGGGCTGAGCGCGGCGCTGCGCGGCTTCCGCTGCGTGCACGGCCCCCGCTTCGCCCGGCAGGTACCCACGGGGGGGTCCTGGGGGGTGGGTTTGGGTTTTGGGGACCCCCCCTGAGCCCTCCCTGCCCCTCCCAGTACGCCCAGTTCGCCGCCCGGCAGGAGCTGCTGGAGCAGCTGGAGGAGCTGCAGTTCCAGCTGTCGGACCAGTCGCTGCTGCTGCTGCCCGAGTACCACCAGCGCCTCGAGGTGGGACCCCAAAACTGCCCCAGGACACCCCAAAACTGCCCCTGGGATCCCCCCCAAAACAGACCCTGGGATCCCCCCCAAAACAGACCCAAAAACTGACCCCAGGACACACCAAAACAGCCCCAGGACACCCCAAAACTGCCCCAGAACACCCCAAAACTGCCCCTGGGATCCCCCCACATCCCCCAAGTCGCTGATGCTGCTGCCCGAGTACCACCAGCGCCTCGAGGTGGGACCCCAAAACTGACCCCAGGACCCCCAAAACAGCCCCTGGGATCCCCCCCAAAACAGCCCCTGGGATGCCCCCCAAAACAGACCCAAAAACTGACCCCAGGACACAGCAAAACAACCCCAGGACACCCCAAAACTGCACCCAGGGACACCCCAAAACTGCCCCAGAACACCCCAAAACTGCCCCTGGGATCCCCCCACATCCTCCAAGTCGCTGATGCTGCTGCCCGAGTACCACCAGTGCCTCGAGGTGGGACCCCAAACTGACCCCAGGACCCCCCAAACTGACCCCAGGACACCCCAAAACTGCCCCAGGACACCCCAAAACAGACCCTGGGATCCCCCGCAAAACAGACCCAAAAACTGACCCCAGGACACACCAAAACAGCCCCAGGGACACCCCAAAACTGCCCCTGGGATCCCCCCACATCCCCCAAGTCGCTGATGCTGCTGCTGCTGCCCGAGTACCACCAGCACCTCGAGGTGGGACCCCAAACTGACCTCAGGACACCCCAAAACTGCCCCGGGACACCCCAAAACTGCCCCAGGACACCCCAAAACAGCCCCTGGGATCCCCCCCAAAACAGACCCTGGGATCCACCGCAGAACAGACCCAAAAACTGACCCCAGGACACACCAAAACTGCCCCAGGACACCCCAAAACAGACCCTGGGATCCCCCCCAAAACAGACCCAAAACCTGACCCCAGGACACACCAAAACAGCCCCTGGGATCCCCTCCAAAACTGCCCCAGAACCCCAAAACTGCCCCTGGAACCCCAAAACAGCCCCAGGGCGCAGTGGCCCTGGGGGCTGTCCCCTGTCCCTGTCACCCCCGTGTCACCCCCGTGTCACCCCCAGGTGCTGTCGGAGCTGGGCTACGTGTCGGGGGGTGCGGTGGCCCTGGGGGCTGTCCCCTGTCCCCTGTCACCCCCGTGTCACCCCCGTGTCACCTCCATGTCACCCCCAGGTGCTGTCGGAGCTGGGCTACGTGTCGGGGGGCGCAGTGGCCCTGGGGGGCTGTCCCCTG